GAAGATGGTATAGAGACATTGGGGTCTGTTGCTCCATAATGACTGCGTCTTCCTCTTCAGGAGGCCTAATGTTTGTTTTAGCCAGATGTCCTGATTGCTCTGGGTAAGAGTAGCTTCTGATTGTGATTCTGATCACAGAAGGAGGACTCCCTGAGACAGCAGTTAGGGTCCTGCAGGCTGAATGCTCCCAACAGGAGACGAAGAAGCTTCCAGGTGCTGGTTTTGTCAACCCTTCAGTACTTAACTATCTGCCTTGTGCACATGGGGGGTAGTTTCATCCTTCTCGCCAGAAAGGAAGCTCATTCATGCCTCAGAACACCTAGGAACAGAGACACTTATGCAATCTAAATGTGGCGTCTACTGGTAGGTGAATGGAACACTAAGTAACTTCAGATATATTCATCTGAAGGTGCAATGCACTGACTGCAAAGAGAAAATCAGTAGCAAGAAATTCAGAGGTCACTTAAGACCCAGCTACCACCTGGATGCAGAAATATTAATTTCCTCAGGGTAAAGCACCCTCTTCATTCATCTAATATCTCTTACATTTAAGGTAAATCAAAAGTAGCAGTTAGCTTTTAGCAAGACAGAATATTCAAATGATCTGTTGTTTCAAATGAAAAGAAGTACTCAACAACTGAAGCTGCTTTCAGGGGCTAGTAAGAAACCCATTCTTTCTCAATTGTCTTTTCTGGCTACCAACCAGGCTGAAAGCCGTACCAAACCTAAATAAAAAACCTAAGCACTTTCCCTATAAAGACTGACCAGAGTATTCTCTCATTCACCCAGCAGCAGGTAATCATATGGATCTTTTATATTATCAGGATTGATTGGAAAAATGACAAGTGCCAGCTATTCTTGGCTATAAAGGCACTGTTACCTTTACAGAAGTAATAAACGTTTCTGTGCTTACAAGCCTTTACTCTTTCACATGTGTTTAACATTATTTCACAGTTTTTATGGACATTTCCTGAAATGGTAAGGTAAAACCATTCTGATGAGGATGGCTAATTGTAGTCCCCTACATTGCCAGTAATGAAACAGCTCCCGATATTTCTGCTCTTTGAATGTCAAGAAATAAGATAATCCAAATAATGTGGCCTCAAGGTTTGACTACATAAGAGAAATTGTTATAAGCTCTGTACGACTACTGCATTACTCAGTCCAGTGTGCTACTTTTATCCACTTATAAAATTGTAAACTACAGGGAAAACTAAGGAAAGCTGCAATAGCTCTGAGTGAATGGGCTTCAATTGTGTTTGATTTACTTTTCACCAATATTTTGAGCAACAACATTAGAGGCAGATGTTTCCAAAGCAGTCCATCAATTTTCAAATTAGAATCAGAAATTGATGAACTTTCACATCCAGAAAATATTAGATCATTTCAAGAAGTGTCCTTTTTGCCTAAATGATTTTATGCACTTAAACTCTTGCTAGCAATTCAAATGGATGGGTTTTCTTTTTTTGTTGATTAAAACAAAGAAACAAACAAACAAAACCACGCAGTATATATATTGGTAATAAGAAACTTCAGTAATATACACAAAGCTTGCAAGCACTTTACAAAAAAAGAAGACAGATATGTTGACTAAACAGTTTATGTGATATTGTTTGCCTTGGATGCTATGAAATAGTTTCCTAAAGTGTACTAAGAATTACAGTATACCAGTATACTGCACAACCTTTGCAGGTGGTCCAAAGCTGACTCTGGTTTGTCTTTTAATTCAATCAATCAAACGAACAAAGTAAATAATGGATTATTTATTGAGAATTCAACAACCCATGTTGAAGCAAAACTGGGGGGTATTAATATCATCAGATATCTAGGATACTTCTTTTCCACAGCCAATTTTACACCAAATTTATCTTGGTAATTTAACATTAAAAAAAGAAAATGCTTTAGCACTTACAACAGGTACATGCTACATATTATACAATTGCTGCAGGCTTCCAACAGAACACATAACAGAGAAACAATGATATGAATGAAAAATTAAAGGAACAAAATACAAAATACAAATACAAAAGATGAATAAATATCAACGGTTGAAAACTATAAAACTGAGTATGTGAGGTACCAATCCTGCACTTCATAAAAAGTCATTTCAAATTGTGAGGGGGGAAAAAAAAAAGGATTCAAACTGTGGTTTGCCACATAGTTTTGGTTTTACGGCCAAAAAGATTCAGTGCATCCAATCAGACTCACCTTCCCTGGGTTGTGTATTTCCTCTACCAAATAAAAACTCCTTATGGATGTGCAAGCAAAGCCTCTAAAGATGTCTGCCTGATAGTCTTTACACAGTAGAGAATCTCCTGATCTGCTGCAGCAACTTCCTTCACGGTAAAATTTTGCAGTTCGTTTCTTTGGTAATTCTGTCTAGTGGATCTTCAACTCCTAGATTGTGTCATAAAAATAAGTTTTTTCCAAGTAGACAATAGGAATGTTTTTAACTTCATTATATCTTCTGAAGAAAAAAATCTGGACTATGGAAGAGACGCAGAAGACTAAAAGCTGAAGAGAGGCCACTTCTGCTGTACTTTTTAAATTTTTGGACCAATTCTACCACTTCTACCATTTTCTACTAGTTATCATTTAGCAACAATATGAGCAAACCACTAGTGAAGAAAGCACATCTGAACAGTAAATCTAGAAATTCCATACAACATACAACAAAACAGAGCAAAGGCAAGGAAGGAAAAAACATGAGAGAAATTTGCATGTGGGTGTCTTGATTCCTCCTTACAGTGTAAGTGCCTTCCCGTTGAGAACCCCAATTTTCTTTTTTTCTTATGCCTGCCTTGGATATAGTTATTTTTTACTAATTGCAAAACCATCCAGACCACGTTTTTCAAGGCTTGATCCAAGTTCCATTGACTCTGGCAAGTACTAGTTATTTAATAGCTAGTTAGTGACTCTGGGAAACTTTAGATCTGGTATGTAGCATTATAATTCCCCACTGACTAATATCTTATGTGCTGTTTCTTGCTGTGCAGGATTGGCTCCCTCATCTTACAGTTTCTGAAATGTAAGAATTAGCAACTTTTATTACTAACCAAATTTTAATCTACATGAAACAGCAGAAGTAAAACACAAGGCAACACACTGCACATACAGTAACAGGACACCTTATTGGAGGGCTCCGTTTTGGCAGGATAAAACAAAACAAAACAAAACAAAACAATTACATCAGTTTATTACATAATTTGCTGAGAATTAGGTGAAGCTTGTGAAAGTGCAGTCACTGAATGCTTGAAAATATTTTGTGTGTATGTGTTTATTGTTAATGATGTAGGGAAAATTTATGCACATGGAATACTACAAGCTACAGTGGCAGAAAGGCTGAAATCCAAATGCTAGATGGTTTCTCTTAAACTTCATCCAGAGTAAGATGGTGATGGCCAAAACAAACTAAGCACTGCATCTGCATATACTAACTCTTAGTGAAGTAGAAACTTTGATTAGAACACAGTGCCAGATGTATATTAGTCTCTCTATAGTATATCTCTCAACAGCATCATCTGCTATGCCATTTCAATCTGCCTAAAATGATGGGATGGTCTAGGGATTCTAAATTACTGAAATCTAGTTATAAGCTAAAGACAAACTCATCTGTTGCAAAAAACCAGTAAGCATACAAATTACTACTAAGTTATTAAAGATAATACCAACACTAGAAGAAATATATATGTATATAAATATATATATATACAAATATAAAAATATTAGTACTATATTATCTCAAGGCCTTAAACGCAGATTTAAAGATTGAGAACATTGTTCTTAAGTTGAAATCTGAGTTTGATCAAACAAAGCATACAGAGATGCGATTTCTAGAGGTGTGCCAGAGGCTGTTCACAGCAATTTGGTAAACCCCACAGTTGAAATAAATAATTATTTTCTTGGATTCACAACTGAAAACTGTCCTCACTATGTTTTGCTGTCTGGTCTTCTCCTTTCTCAGGAAATATTTCGCTCATGCTCAAACTAGTGAGCAAATCCAAGTCCTTCTTGTCCAATCTAGTCATGCACACCTAGATACCACCATCCAGCAGGTATGCACAGCATGAGAATATTTGGGAGAAGAGACATGGGAAGTCTCTGGTTCTATTGAAGAAATGGTGTGAAGATTCTGCCTCTGATGCAATGTCTAGTATTTTTTAAAAATGGGGATGACGAACTATTTTGGTTATCTCCACAGAGCAGTGGAGGGGAAAATTTCTATAAAAATATCATTTCAGTTGAAAATACCAACCAATTCACCAAAACAACCAAACCATCTAAAAACAGTGTTTTGCCATTTCTTCTCAAATTCTAACCAGGGAAGATTTTTAAGTTAATAATGATAATGGCTGGGGACTGGTGAGTTTTCTGATGGTAGTTTCTCATCCATTCTACGCATGAATTGTGCAGACCTTCTTCTCTTGCCTGCAACAATAAGCAACACATAATTTATATTTCCTAGCTCTTCTTGCTTGTGTCTCTTGAGTTTTGCTAGCAACCAACAGCAACAGAAACACATCTACTGGGGCCCCTAAGCAAATGGCAGCAAGCAAAGACTTTCAAGCATTTTTAGCCTGTCTTGTCCCTCACAAGTTTTACAGCTATTGAAAATCTGCTAACAAGAGGAGAATAGGCTCTGTTTCTTAATAGATGATCACTTGGAAGGACAAGATATTTTCCTACCAAAAAAATATTAATAGTTATTCTTGAACGATGATTTTTTTGTGACATATTATTTAATTGTTAAACCTAATTTACATTTGTACAGTGAGCTATAAGAATGACGATATGTTCCCAGAAGATTATTTCAGTAATTAAATTTTATAGCTACCTAAGCATCTTTTTCTCTATGCTTAAAGGGAATTATTGACAAGATTTTGGTTATTCGTATATTTATTTATTCTTTCTAGCATCTGCTGATAAGCAGGATGCTCTGCCATGAACTACAAAACGGAAATGAAAATATCACATTAATAGGTTTGGAACACATTACTTACGGTGGTTGCACAGTGGATGTCTTTCCATACATTGGCTTCCCTGGAGAGATCTGAGACTTCAAAAAGGTTATCAAGAATTACTTCCCCAATCATGTCATGTCTAGAAAATCTGTCAAAATCATAAACACTGAAATGCAATTTTCTGTTGCTGAGCTGATCATAGGCTACAGGAAACTGAAAGGTTTCATCAAAGACAGGATTTAATGTCTTCCTGTGAACTCGTGTCTGAAACTTCTTTTTCCTATCTGGAAGCAGATAAATCTTAACGTAGGGGTCAGATGTTCCTGTGAAGTCTTTAGCAGGCAGATCTAAGGCTTTGACAATTGTGACAGCCAAAAGTTCGTTCTCGTAATCATACCGGAGAGTGAAATTAAGTTTTCCGCATGTTTTCACATCTTCTTGTTGCCCATCAGAATCCACAGACTTCTGTTTGTAGAGTTCTGGTTTTATTCTCCCAATGCTGGTTGTCGTCTCTCCCCTTTGTAAAATTGGATCTGTCCCCATGTTAAAATCAACACTGGACACTTGCATCTGCCTTGGCAAGTGCCTCCTGAAAGAATTGTGCCTGCACACATACACACACAAAATGAGCCATGATTATCTTCAGGAAAAGACTGGCTATTACTAAGTAGAAAATACAAGAAGACAAAATTAGTAAGGCTCCACTCTTTAAAGCAACCAAAAAACAAGCCCCAAATGCTTTATAAGTGCTAAAACAACTTTAAGAGGAAATGATTATTCAGAACAAACTTGGCCTGAGAGATGCTCAGTCTCCTGGCATTATATATATTTCTTACCTTGTTTTCAATCTATGCAGCTGAAAATGAGCTCAGGTTCTTTCATAGAATTCCAGCATTATTTGATCCTACTCTGCTAGGACATGAACAAAATATAGTCATGCTGAAAAAAAGCATCACTTACAGACGACAGACTTCCTGTTGTTTGAAGGCACTCCTTGTCTGCTTTCCAATTGAATGTTTACCATGCTTAACAATGACCACTGTGAAAGCCTCAAGAAAGCCATGGAAAGGTATAGATGTTTTCAGCATAGTATTTACCACCCTGAAACACTTTATGTGTACCTATTGGGTATCTGGTGCACTGAGGTACAGGTCACTTTATCCCGTAATATTTTTCTGGCTGCAACGTATTTCAGTTTTAGGCAACATTTTACTGTGGCATATTTTTTTTTTTCCTTCTGTTCTCACACTCCTCTGTGTAGCATATTAGCAAACTGATTCATGTACTCCTACCAAAAACAATTATGTTTAAATCCTCGCAATTCTAAATACTATGTAGTATATCTGTACTTATTTATGAGATTATCTTGACCGATGAACATTAATGGAACTTTCTATCTTTCCTACAGAGAGTGAAATAAAATCTCTGGTATGTCATACAGCTTTAAAATAGTATAAAAACATTGGTCAAAAAGCTTCATAGACATAGTCATCAGCAGATGCTATTATGACTACACTGTTCAGTTTATTTTTTGGACATTTTCACTTTTCCTTGGTACTTCACTACCCTTACAATCTGCGCTGGAAAAGCTCACTACCTCCTCCTGTGAGCATACTCAGTTGCCATTAAAAAACAATTTAATTGTCAGAATTTCCTCTGCTTTTTGCAATCAATTGCTTATTAATGCCAAATGCAGCCTTGTCTTATTGCTTGGTTTCCCTGTGGTGTTGTGTTCTGAAAACAAGAGGTGTCACAGCTGTGTGTTTCTTTCTTTAAATCAGAAATGCAAATTGTCTATTTGAAAGCAACTAGGACTCATTTCATAGATATTATTTGTATTTTTGCTTAAGTGAAGTGGTTGCAGAAGGCACACAGCACAAAACTACTGCAATTTAGCTGAGCAGAGATACAAGAGGGTAATCTGCAACCATTAAATAATAGACAAGAATTTTTCCCATTTTGGTTGCTTCAGTACTGCTAGGTGTAGTGTGCAGCAAAATTGTGACAAAAGAATAGGGGAGGGAGAACTTCACAGTTCAGGCTTGAAGTAACTCCAGAAAACACAGGTGCTTTGATTTCAAATTTAGATGAACAGTAATACACCTCTCTCATAATACACTGCAACTTTTCCATACACCCACATATATTTATTTATCTGTTACAAGCAGACAAGTTCAAAGACTCCCTTTTCTCTTAAAAGGTTAAACTCCTCAAATTCATAGTATATGATATCCATGATGGAATGGGGGGAGCAATGGGAAGGCTCTAACTAGTCATAAAAGCACAACTATGTTCTTCAAGGAGTTCCACAAATGCCACTGAGTCTTCATCCAGTGGAAAATCTGGTCTCATGGATGTGCCAAACACAGGGAAGGAGTTCTCCACCCAGAATGTAGTGGCAGTAAATTTTCAGCACGCAGTTGGTTAGGTGCTAGCTCTCTGGTATCTCTGACTCTGCTTATGCAGGTAAAATAATGAAAATTGCCTGCATGTCATTTCAAGTTTAAATGAAATTTGATATATGACAAACTCTCTTTTCCTGTAATCTCTTGCATTTATGAAGACCTGAGTTAATCCTTGCAAAAGTAGCATGTAAAAACATGACTCCATGATTTCTAAGGTAGCAGCCTCCTTTCAAACTGTCAAACGCTATGTACGTGAGATCCTCTGGTGAAGACAGTCATTGTTGCATGGCGTCACTAAGTAGAACAGTGCAGCTGTATGGCTGTGCCCCATGGGAACCAACAGAACCTTTGCTCCAGTAAGCCAATGCCCTAATTACATAGTGCCTTGTATCTGCTCTGAGTCACAGCATTTCACCAAGACAGCTAATTGGCCTGTTAATTATTAAGATGCTTCATTGTTGTCATGGCAACATATTTATCATCCTTTGTTCTGCAATAACAAAGGAATTAATGACTGTTAAAATGAAGTACAAGGATGTCAAGCAACCAGGATAAAAAGGTGTAGGGAAGCTATTTACTTGTGCAAATCCAGGTACATTCACCATTACTGGCTTTCACATAGCACTCCTCTAGACACACTTTTCCATAACTTAGAACAAATACATTTTGAGCGACAAAGTCTGGACATAAATCTACGGTATAAAACAAGCTTGCACTGGAATAATGATAGTACGAAGCTGAGTTCTAACAAAGCAAGAGTAGCATATGTAAGACAAAAGAGAAGGATAGGATGGTGATTTATGATATGACTTGAGATTTATAATATGTGGCTCTGATCTATCTTCAAGAGATGATACTAGGGTGATATTTTAGACCATATCCAGGAATGGACACCAGCATTTAAATTGTATTTTGCCAGGACTGAGGCTACTAATTCCTCCTTGCCATCACCAAATTCAATTGACCTGTTTGCTTTTCTTTAATCTTAACATTCCCACACACCTCACTTTTGCCTTTGTGCCTCATGGGAGCTGACTTATTCTTCTAGAGCTGAACGACAAGCTCCTCTCCTACCTAATGCTAAAGAGGTCAAAGCTCTTTGAAAATACAAGTGAACATTTGAAGGAAGAAATATTAGAGAATCAATAAACCACACTGCAGCATACCTTCACAAAGTACAGGGAAAAATGGCCCTCTCTAACACTGAGCAAAAACGTATCTAAATGAACACCACTGATGCAGGAATTCTACTGCAGTTTACTGGTGCAAACACCCTACTATTTAGTTACTCAAGGTGAGACAAGCAGGGCTACTCGGGAAATGAACTGTCCCTCCAGGAAAGATTTAAAACTTATAATTTAGACAGGATAGAAAGAAAAAGCTCCCCTACATTACATACTGAAAGAGCAGGACAGATGACAGACTTCAATTTTGTAGAAGTGTGCTGGATTTCAATTTTATTTTATGCATTCATATCCCAGTCCAAATCACTCTGGAGGTCTGGAGGTCTGGAGGTCTGGAGGAAATATTTTGACAGCTTGAAATAGCTCTGGATTATGTTCTTGGAACTTCTTTCTTCCCCTGTACTGCCATAGAGAGTTTTCAAGCCTATCTGCCAGCTAGTTATTTCTTCTGTCTGTTCAGGAAGTCAGACAGTCTGATCACCTACAGATTTTCCTGTTAGCACATAATGCATGAAACTGTTCCAATTAATATCCAATTAGATAGATAGCAGCATAGCAGTTGCAGATAGCAGTTGCATAAGATCCTTGTCATGCGAAGTTGTATCATTTTTTTGTCCCTCTGCCTGTCCCTCTTACAGCAGCTACAATGTCAAAGCTGCCTTCCCAGTATTCTGGAAAAGCTCTTCAGAGCAGTTTGGATACCATGCTCTGCATCTCAACAGGTGGATATAGTAGCTGCAATCAGGCACAGACAGGGCAACCTGGCTTAAAGGCAGCTGTACAGTCTTATCATTCAGGAGATGGTTCAGCTGCTGGAATCAGCTAGACCACCCTTGGCTGGAGTGCTCTACTTTTTGGTTGCCCGTTGGCTGTTCCCTGTTTTTGGAAAAGTGGGAAAGAAAGCACTTCTACACTCGTCGGTTCTACGAATGCACTGAGCTGGCAAGGTACTGATCTTAGGGACTCTCAGAAAGCCAGCAAAATATGTGCCACTAAATGTAAAGCACGTCTTCTACAATCTTGTGTGTCAATGAAAATGGGGTAGATGTTTTTTTATTATTATTGTTTGGCTTTTGCTTGTTGATCTGTTTCACTCGGTAGCATGCGTCCATTTAGCAAAAGATCTACTGAGTTAAAGCCACTTCCTATAGAGGATTTCTACTCTTACAGTGTTATGCAGTACTTCAAGTGCCTCTTTTAACCTCCATTTTCCTATTTTGTGTTAAGAAAACATTCATTTAAAAAAAAAATTATTATTTATTTTTATATAGGAAGTGTTCTTTTTAGCTCGCTTCCCATGCATTAAATTTGCTGACAGTATTTGAAAAAAATCATGTTGGATACTAGAGATCACTGCACATCTCTTCTTCAGAACTTTTCAAAATAACTCAGTATCTGCAACAAAATCAAAGTTTCTCTCCTTCAATTTCATACAAAAGAAATCATTGCTGCAATAGTACATGCTTGACATATATTCCAAAATATATACAGAATCTGTATTGCTTTGAAATCAAACTGTAAGGACTACATTCTTAGACTGGGATTTTAATTCCTTTGTAAGTGGCAAACATGTCATGAAGAAATGCTATCAACAATAAATCTGTCTCTTATTTAATGAAGAGGAAAACTTTCATCTGTAAAAGCAACTGCTAGGTCTACAAAAATACATCTGTGAAAAGACAGACTTGTAGTATACTGAAAAATCACATTAGGATGGATTTTCCTGTACACAAAACCCAAAATGGAAATGTTGTAAATACATATATGTAAATACATATGTATTTACAAAGTAGTAGAAGATAGATTTGATCTTCATAAAACAGTGAAGTAGCTGAAGGTCTGCCATCTTTTCTGTTAACGATACAGAGGTTTTACCTTCACACAGCTGCTGTCTTGCCCATAACTGCTAAGAACTCACAAGTACCCTAGAATCTTGGAAATTTTCAGCAGAATACTATGGCAGTACCTTTTCCCAGGAAACATGCCACAGATGCAAGTATCCCTTACCTTGATGATGACGTGGGCTCTGTGATCTGTCTCTGCATGCGTGCATGTCTGATCAGATGTTCTTTCAGTGCATTCTGGACCTCTGCTGGTATATCAGGTGAAGTGTGGCTAATTTTCAATGCAGCTTCAAGTACCTTTGTTGTAGGTTTCCCATTTTCTTTAACTTCCTTTTTCTCACTGGTCTCCAAAACCTCTGTAGGAGCACTGGAGGTGCTCTGCGGGACATTACTGGCATTGGAAGTGAGAGGTTTGCTTCTCCAGCAGGGCCAGCACAACTTCCAAAAGACAAAAAGTGAGACTACCAGCAAGGCGAGCCCACAGAAGCTGACGACTACTGCTAACAAACTGACTGAGATGTCTGCAAGGAATTAGAAACAGAGATCATCATGACAGACAAACATGGAGAGAAAAGAATATGAAACAGGTGAGAAGATAGAAGTATTGCAATCATTATCCCATGATGAGTTTTGAAGCCTCATTCAAAGCTATTTTTCTTTTTGATATCTAAGCCTATGCCTTTAAAATGCTACCATCCTCCACTGCCTCTTTTCCAATTCCCCATTCACTGCTGCAATGGCTCAGGGCCAGTACTGAAACCACCGGCAACACACAGACAGTCAAACTTCTTAGGAAGTAAGGGACTACCCAAACAGTCCCAAATCCACCTATCTATAGTGATCAAATGGTGTTTGCTTGGGAATACATCTTGCTGAAAAAAATTAAACAGCAATCAACATTTTCTGTAAGCATCTATGAAGATCGGTCAGTTACAAACACCCAGGCTGATAGAGAAATTCCTTAAGACTTATCAAACTTTTGATTTCGTGTGCTAACTGGTTCATAAGTATGTTAAAACAGGATAAAAAGGAACAAGTTACAGTTTGCCATGAACAATAAGTTGTAGGGGTTAAATCTCAAACACTGTTAGATCACGACATGAAGTTCCCTTCATACTACACTATTCAATGCCCTTGGTTCTACAAAGACCATACCATACATTTAGCTATCCCTGCTGCCCTGCATTTGACTTTCTCTGCCATGGTGGATTAACATATCCAATAATGTTGCCAAAGTAAAAAGAACAGATTTTGTACTGACTAAATTCTGCAAACAGACTTGTATTTTAGGAGATGGTGGATCACCAGAAATGCCAATTGGAGCTTAATTAAGACTTTTATTCTGTGTGACATGTTTCTGTTTGATTTTTCCAGAATCGTGTAATCTTCTAAAATATAACCAGAATAACCCTCTCCTTTTGAAAAGAGGCTTCTGTATGCTTTTTAAAAAAATCAATAAGCCCTACTTAAATGCCCCTCAAGCAAAGGCTGCTGCTACTTGTTACAACAAGGTTTGACAGTTTAACAGCTAATATTTTGTATCCATAGCTGGAGGCTACAGACTACTAAACTGAACCAGTGGAAAAGTGCAACCAGGGTATGAGCATACCTTTTTCTAAAAGATCACAGGCTAAAAAAAAAATTGTCCTCTAGATGTGTGTTGGCTGCACAATACAGTTTGCAGCTCATGAGTCCTCCTGGGAGATTAAGTTTCTGGAAGATAATTTCAGAAGGTTTTCTTTATTAATATTTAATCTCCAAATACAACTTTCAGTAAGAAATAATGAGTTTAAGGCTCATTCAACATGAAAATGGATGAGAATAGTCAACGTAAATAGGTGTTGATAGTCTGAAGACACGCTTCAGCTCAACCTTACTTCATGTATGTCCTGGCCAGCTTCATGGAAGAACTGGCAGGAGATGTACTTTTGCATTTGAAGAGTTTAACACTAGCTGCTTCCCTGCCTTGAACAGAAGTATGCCTCCATAAATATTTTTGACAGGCCTGGGCATCTTTTTCTGCCTGCAGTTAAATGTCAAAATGTAGCCCTTGGAATATTCACGTCAGTTTAATGAGAAATTCATACAGCAAATTTCGATTTAAGATGCTCCCATAAAATGAATGGATGCATAATTATACCTAATAGCAATGTAACAGAAGAAGCAAGCAATACTTTTGCATACAGTTTTTCTAGAGAATGAATCCTCAGTAGGGGTTATTAGGCTATTTGGTTTGATCTACTGTTTACCCTACTATGTTTTCTGAGTCTCATAATTTCTAATGGGCTTGTCCATGTTTTGCAGCAGTGTCTGATCTTGACGGCAAGAGAAGACATTAAAGGATGCTGGTAGAGTTTACAGCTTGGTTCAGTGATTAATCACTTTGTTGTGAATTTGTATTTCTGATTTGTATTTTTGTAGTTCTAATTTACAGCCATTGATTTTTTCACGTCTTTGTATGAGAGACTGAAAGACATAATATGCCTCATAAGACATGTCTATGCAAAACACAAATAAGCTAAAAGTGCTAGAATCAAACCCAGAGCTTGAGACTCAGTTATCAATGCCAGTCTCTGGAATGTTTTTAATCATTTTAGGTCTCCCAGCGAATTCCTGGGTATGGGTCATTAGGGAAGGCCAACAATCATTCATCATAGGCACTTGGATCTCCTTCTATTTCAGTAGATGATGGACAGAGCCTGTGACATGTCAGTTGGCCTCAGTGCCAGAGAATGGTCACACATTAATTCTATACATGAATACAGAGGTATGCCCCCACTGAACGAAATTTTTTGATAAATTAAACCTGCTGAATTTTCGATCAAGCTAGACAAAATATTTTTCCATTCTCAAAGTCCGACAAAATGTAAAATTATTGCAAAAGGTTGATGGTATCTCAGAAAACAACAAAAAAGAAAGCCAAAAAGAAATTCAATTTGGGGTCATTTGCAATATTTCCAGCTCAGTGTAGGTGTTATTAGCATAATTAGCTTATATTTTGAGTTGAAGGCTTCTAGAACTTGAAAGTCACAATTACCCATTTAGAAAATGATGAAACAGATGAAATTATTTCAAAACCAGAAATATAAATATCCAACAGAGTTTCAATGTAATGAAGGCACTATCAGTTGATTCTGTCAAAGCTTTTCTAGCCAGTCTTATTTTAAGTTTTTCACTGCAAGACATTTTTCAAGTCTTCTAATGACTGGGTATCTCTTTTCAACACCTATTCCAGTTCTTCAGCTTCCTCTAAATTTTCTTTCTTTATTTCCATTAAACTATTTCAAATGGTCTCTAACCCAGTCTCAAAATCTTTACAGAAAAAGTAAGTCCTATCGCCCTAAAACATAGCATGAAACTTCTTACGTTTTATGAGTAGTGAAAATATTTAAGAGTTAATTCTGGAAAGAATCATACAAATTATAGTCTCCATATCAGCTATTTTAGTAGTTTGCTCAACAGCCTCACATATTGTACTTGATAGTGAAACAAATACTTAAACAAAATAATGAAATACAGTAATTGCAAAGGAATTGGACAAAAAAAAATAGTTCATTACAATAAAAGTGGTATTTATTTCATTACATTTACTTCCATAATTGCTAGAATGCAATCACTATGCCATATTAATTAATGCAAGAATCATATCATTTGATTTTCTCACTTTTGAAAGCCACTCTATTGAACAATCATTATGCAAGATTTGCTGTTATAAGAATTGTGGAACAGCAGACAAATAGAGCTTCCTCTACACTATACATGTTACACTGGATATGTCTCATATATTATAGCAATTTAAGAATAAAAAACACTAAGAGATGGTTCAGCAGAGCAGGAGTTTCTTTGCATACTCGTCGAGGAAATCTGGAGAGAGAGGAAAATGGCTACCAAAGAATGGATGTGTCTTTACGCTGGGATTACACTTCAGTTATGTAAGTATTCTTTAGATGGTGACAAGTTCAAAGACTGCCTTAAGTTTTTAGAGACAGAAGGGGATACACTCACTGGTCTGGAACAATGTTAACTGTCAACACTGTAAACAATATTCTCACCCTTCTCTGCTGTGAGGGAACAACAACAACAAAAAATCATTTTCAGCCTCAGGCAAGCTTTTGACAACTCTCTTTCCAAATTGATAATTGCAACTTGTCTTCAATGCTATACATTTGCACAGAATAGATATATTTTTGAATACCTTTCTGGGCATGCTGCACAATGGTTTTGCCATTCCTGTTCACGTGATGAGTAATCTTAAGAACATGAAGAAAAACCCTTTCTCACAATGCCCCTTCCGATCAGTGAGAAATCTTCCACTCATTTCACTTAAATTAACATTTTACTCCTAGTGATTTTTCTTTATTGACTTCTCCTTAATGTCATCTTCATAGTTTTGATAGAATTTCATGACTGAAAGAAAGTGGCCTGTTTCCTCATGCTTTCCTATCTAAAATAACTCAATGAAGATGGCCCCTATTGGTCAATTTAATACTTCTCATTTAAGAAAGGCATATTTACTTGGGAAATGCTTGAGCTATATTTACTTCAACATCTTTCTGCATTTTTTATAAATATTTTTGGAGAGACCTCCAGCATAAGAAGCTTCTTGACAGCCACTGTTACCTATTAGGCAAGTCTGTAGAAACATCCCCAGTTTTTTTCTGGATGCTAGGCGACATTTTGAACCATGGTTTCTGTACTGTGGTTTCCAACAATGTATTGCTTTTAACTTGCCTCAGAAAAGTTCTGCACATGAACCTATTCTCAAACATGCATACTGGCAGACTTCCATGTCCAAAGCAAATTAAATTCATTTCCATTACAGTTAGTGCTCTGAAAGCATGTGGCCCTTGAGGCTTAGCTTGGGAAAAAAAGGTACTCCTCAGCTCTTATTGAATGTATACTGAGGAGATTGCTCAGTGTGTTAATGTAGCTGCCCATATGTATAAGTAGCAAGCAGGGCAAGGAGGGACCAGTCAGCTACAATTGTGTGAAATCATATTATGTGGTCTCTCTTGCGCATCACACCACATGGCAGGAGGTATACAGAGGTGTGTACTGACACATTGCTCCTGCTGGGGCTAGAGGATAGAGACAAGCCTGCAGTACAAAGTTCTACCACAGGCTCCTACTTCAGGAATGTTATAGAGCCCAACAACTCTTTTCTGCCTTCAGAAGAGTGCTGTGAGTGTCCTTTGCAGGCAGGAGTTGTGCTATGTACACACAGTAGGCTGAAGAGAACCTACTTTTGCCAGCAAAGCAACAGAAGAAAAGGACCTTGTGTAAAAAAAAAGAATAGAGTTCTCTTTTGACCCCTCTCTTCATGTACAGTTGATACTGGATCTCTTAAATATTTAAAGTTCAACATCCAATAACTTCTTTTCATAACTATTTTTCTTTAACTGTTTTTGGTTTTTTTTTTTCCTATTGTTAATCATCCGTAAGCAACTCCGCTATTTCCATAGGAAACACTCTGAAGGGAGCTCTGGAATATCAGCAGCCAGCTCTTACAGATTAATTAATA